AGAATGGTTATACACCACTGCACATCGCTGCCAAAAAGAACCAGATGGACATAGCGACAACTCTGCTGGAATATGGTGCTGATGCAAATGCAGTTACCCGGCAAGGAATTGCTTCTGTCCATCTTGCAGCTCAGGAAGGACATGTGGACATGGTGTCACTACTCCTCAGCAGAAATGCCAACGTGAACCTGAGCAATAAGGTAACCTTTTTCTTTCTCTACAAAGCAGACAACACAACAAAATTCCACCTCTCAGAAAGGTCACCAGGTAGTCATGAAAAGTTTGGGTCAGATAGAATGTGCGAAGTGTAATATTGCAAGAAGATGTTTACCAACGTGTTATTTATCATGGCAATAACTTGGAAGCAATCCGTTTAAACAATGAGAATATAGGTCAGTACAACTGAGAAGCATATAGTCATAAAAAGGAAGTTCACAAAGTTTTTCTACAAACATGAAGTTTTGTTATAATGTTAATTCAAAGAGCAAAGTTGTTACCTCTCCAGAATGTAGCAAGTAAGAAGTTATAAATTGTAGACTGTTGATTCATTCCACAAACATTTTTGGGGTGCCTACTCCTTGCTTATCCCAGTTTAAGTCCTAAGTTAAAAAAGAAACTGGAAACAGTGCTGCCTTCCCAGAGTTCATTTTAATAACAGAAATTTAGAGTAGCTATTGTATTCAGTAGATTGGAAAGGTTGTTAGCTTACACGTCTAGTCTTTGTATGTAAACTGGCAGTTCCAAGGAATTTGTAAAGACTTCCCAAAATTCTTCATACTCCCCTGTCCTCATGTGGCATTCCTATTGTTAGCGAAGAAAGTACCAGAGCTTTGTGAAGCAAAGTGAAAATCCAGCCCACAATTGACCAAAGAGATGATGTTACTGCGTATACTGCAGTATCATTGCCTGTATTAGAGAATTAGGGTTCGCTCACTACTTCTTAATACTTGAGTCTGAGATCTGCCGAAAACATGGGACAGATGTTTCTGAGTCTTCAGATAACACAAAACCCTGCAAGAATGCCCCACATTCTTGACATCCAAACTCCCCAGCATTTAGCTTCTCTACCAACTACTGCTGGCACAGCTATGGCATTTCTCAACTGTGGCTCATGCTAGAGTTTCAACACAGGAATAGTTTTATAGTGACATTTAGCAAGTAATTTAATTATTTTTAACATATGTGACCTGTGTTTTAGAATCACAGAGGGTAATGAATCCTAAAGCTGACTCTTACTCGATGTGTAATTTGGGCAGGTTATGTGAGCTCTCTGAGCTTCAGTTTCATCCTCTAGTAAATAAAGACAATATTTACTTCACAGAGATGTCATGAGGATTAACTAGATACCATTCAGCACCTTATTCTAAGTAGGAAAAAAAAAATAGTTGTATTAATTTTGGACTTTGCACAATTTGGGGAGAAAAGATTATTCTATGCTAATCTGAATCCCTAAAGTTGTAATTTAACAAATTCTATAGACCGAAAGACCAGGGAAACCTTTTTCTTTTTTTCCAGTGTTAATGTCTTCAAAATCTTTTTTTGATCATTACAGAGCAAACACATCTGTCATTTTTTTCTGATGTACCAATTTGATTTTCTCATATCTTCCTGTTTAAACGTTTCCTTCAGGAATGCATGTCTCAGCATTAATGGGAATCACAAAGCAATTTCAGATAGTCATTATAATCAGAATTTGTTTGAGCTTTTGAACTTCCTGAGTTTCATATACCAATATATAAACCAGCATTATAATAGTTTGCTGCAAAATTCAACTTATCTAAATGAGATAGAGAACCCACCCTTCTCAAATTGAAGCACATTCTGGCATCTACTAGAGTGTATTTTCTCTTGTGAGCCCAGAATAGTGTCTCAGTAATGCTCCCAGAGACAATTAGACCTCAACAATTGGTTAACGTTTTCAGTAGGTTTGATACCAAAGTACAACGTGACTGACTTTTTTCTTTTCTATCAAATCCTCCAGTCAAGTAGTTACAATATATATCCGATCTTGAATTCACCTTTAAATCATGGAATATTTTTAGGTTGAAATACTTTAGAAAGAATTTGTCCATGTTTGCTGTAGTGGACTGGACATTAACAAGGTAATTCTGAAACCAAAAGACATACATGGTAAACCAAAGAAACCTGGAAATTTTCAGCCACCTTTCTGAATATATATGTAAGCAGAGATACTTCCAAGGATATTTTAAAGAGCCAATCAGCCGGCTTGCCATTAGCACGTGGTACCTAAAGAACTATCAAAACTTCACAGCACCTGGAAACTTTAGTACAAGGGCATTTGTAAATCTTTGCTTCCTTTCTCAGCTGTCATTTTCTGTATAAAGTATTAAATACGCCTCAGTGTAAAAACAGATTACCAGCAGAACTTTGTTATTCAATAAGAAACTCCAACAGTTTTTCCTGAGCTGCCGGAGTTTTAAACATTAGTTCCCATCCTCCACTTCTTTCCCACCTTTCCACTTAACACTAGACTTTTTTCCTTGCTAAAAAATAAATATTAAAAGAAAAATTTACCTTTCGTGAAAACTTGTTAAATACTCTGCTGTTTTCACTTATGTCTTTTCTTGCTGGTAATCAGCAGTACTTTTAAGAAAAAGATCAACCTGTCACTGCCGGTGTCCGATTGGCTTTGATTTTGCTTTTGATGTTGCTGTTTTCTCACATGGGTTTGCAGACCACAAGCAGCTGGGTTTCTTTGTTAAATGGACAGACTATATTAAACAGAGCTATTGCTATTCTGAGTTGGTGGTATTATCTATATTCCAAATATGCCATTTTTAAAATGAACGATGGTCAAAACCATTTAACAGATAACTTCTGAATTCAAAAACGCTGTTTTAACCATTACTTTATTTTAAAAAAACTTTAACTAAAATTATGAATATAAAATAAAATTTTATTTATTTATTGTTTAACCTAAAATATATTTGTTTTTCCTTCTGATTTAATCATACCTAAAATATATTTGTTTTTTCCTTCTGATTTAATCAATTGGCAGATGAATTAAAAGCTAGATACTAGACACTGGTTATATAGAGATTAAACATACAATATTTGCCTCAACAAGCTCCCAGTGGTATGAGGAAGACCTACATGAAAACAGTTTAAATGCAGGATTGTGATGCTCTTCAAAGAGCAGGTGTGAACATAAATGTAACAGTGAGGCCCTTTGTGAGATGGGGGAGAAGGAAGCCTGAGAAGGTTGGAAATGCTCTGTCAGAGGTGGAGTGGATAACGCACAGCATCCGTGCACATAGATGAGGAACACAAAAGAGTAGGGCATGTGCCAGAACACACTACCAACCTTTGCCACTCAGCAAAGTGTCTCTAGAGTTCTGAAAAGTCTCAAACTTAGAATAGGTGACCATGATACTTTCACAAAATATTATGGCTGAAAATATTTGTTTCCTCTAAAGTAGAATTTAGTACATTGTTCTACAGTTATGTCAGTGTTTGGGTGGTGCCATTTTGGCCCTGGCTTATTTTTCTTGGATTTTAAGTGAAAGCATCAGTCCTCCTTTCCATATTTCCCCTTTATTCAGTTTGAGCGAGCTTCCTCCAGAATTCTATAAACATTAAAAAGTCAAGGGCAAATTACTCTTCCTGAGTCTCTAATTTCTTTGACAGCATAGCAACCCATAAGTAAATAATGTGCAGCATCTAGAGAGCTTGAACCCTTTCTGATGCTGCTCTTGATTCACTTCTTTTCTCTGAAAACTAGGACAGGCTGATGTTTTCATTGCACAGATGCAAAGAGCAGAGACAGAAAACCTCCAGATATTAACTTCTGTGCTCGTAATGGATGAAAGAAAAAAATCTAGAAACCCTTACACCAAGTCACTTTCTCTTAATTATTATTTATTAAAAAAAAAAAAAAATACAACACTAAAGATTTTCAAACCAGGGCACAGTCTTCGTGATTTTTTTTCTTGGCCATAAGAACAACCATATAGCTTGCATGTTCAGTGGTATAGTCAATTTCAAATATTCAGTCTCGTTAAAACCACACACCATCTGAATGACCCAGGAATTCTCCTGATATAGCATTCACATTAAATTTCACAGGCCATCTTTCTTACCCAGAAACAACATACCGAAAATATGTACCAGGTTTGGGGTATTAATATTTAATGGAGAAAATATCATCAACTTATATCAATATTCAGTTTATAAATTATTTTTATTTTAACATTTTTGGTAAAACCAGTACCACTGGCAATATATTAAAACAGCATAATTTTGGAAAAAGTATTTTTTTAAGCTGACACTGAAGTATGTAGGGAGAAATGGTATAATGTCTGTCATTTGCTTTCAAATACAACACAAAGGAAAAAACGAAAGGGAACTAGGGTTGAAAGAAACAAATGTAGGAAAACTTTGATAACTGCTAAGTCTGTGATGAGTACCCAGAGTTCAGTTCATTGCCTCCACTTTTGAGTATGTTTGAAATTTTTCATCAAGCGTGGAGGTAACAATGTTGCTGTAGTGCTAGTATGTAAACTTATTCTATAGATTTTTTTAACATAGAAATTCTAGGCTTGCTCTCCTAGAATTCATAAATTGTTTCTCAAGCATGCCTGTGTGTACTATATTCCTGACTGTACTCTCGATTGTTTTGCAGAGTGGCCTGACTCCACTCCATTTGGCTGCGCAAGAAGACAGAGTAAATGTGGCTGAAGTCCTCGTAAACCAAGGGGCACATGTGGATGCCCAGACAAAGGTATACAAATAGGATGTGCCTATACAAAGTGGCATTTGGTGACTCTTGTTTGGAGCAAGTACAATTTGATAGGGGAAAGAACAAATTCTCCATTAATTCTTTTATACATAGAATTTCTTTTTTTTTTTTTTTATACATAGTATTTCAAATGTATATCTGTGCAAGGGACTCTAAAGTCTCTGATTATAGTGTCCCAGATGCTATTATGTTTAATGGCCTAGGTACTTGACCTTAGCTGCATATCAATATTCTTCCACGTTAACAATCTTGATCCTTGTTACAACAGATCCACTCTTCAAGGGCAAAGTATAAAATCTTATACCTTTCTTAGTTTCTGTGACCAATGTAAAAAATGCACATAGAAAAATTTGTTAGTAATTTGTGACCTCTAAGATAGTCCAGGCATAGTCTATGAAAAAGGATAAATTAAATTTTAATCAGTTATTTCTCACTTGCTAAATTCTTTATGGTGTGTGATCACTAGTGTCTCCCTCCTTCCCTCAACCCACCAAAATAGCTCTTTTCATAAAGAAAAAAGAAATTACTGATTAATTTCATATAATGCCACAATTTCAAACTCAGGTAAGATAAATGGATGTTTCGTACCATCATCTAAGACAGGACTTCATATTAATCTCATTTCTCTGTACATATTTCAGTGCTTAATTTTGTTACCTCTTCATATCAAATTTGTTTCATTCACTCTAAAATATACCTCTTTCTTTATATGTCACATATTTTTCACAAAAACGAATGTTTATTAAGTATTATATTGCAAATACAAACACTTGTGTATAATACGAATAGATTATGAGGTCTATGGACAGATATTGAAGATATTGGTTATACAGAGGTATCACCAGGTAAAAAGATTTGCAGACATCAAATTCAGACTGGATTTACGGGACTAGCCCAGATGGAGCAACTCTGAGTAGACACGCTTTGGACACTGCTCCAGCTCTATTGCTATGGCTTCTCCACCCAGACTGTGTTCTAATAAAGAGAATCTGCCTGAAAGAGACCTGACCAGGCAAGATCCTTGATACTTTTTAAACTATGTGTTAAAGAAGTAAGGCAAATATATGGTCTCTGGCCAGGATAGGCGTCGGCAGGACCGTGAAGTTCTTGCCTTTCTGAAATTCTCTATGCCCTTGAAGACTCCATGGCCTCATTTGGTAGCCTAGTGTCCCAGTTCTCCCTTCACGCTATTTCCCTCCCAAACTTTACATTCTAAAAAATATCATTGTCCTTAGCTTTGAATGCCTTCCTAGGTATACCTGATTAATTAACAGAAAAACCAATAAAGTCAGTGGTAGTGGCCGGATGGTTTGTTGTTACTTTACATTTTGAAAATGGAAGTGTTTTTAGTTCTGAAAAAAAAATCAGCCTGGATGTAGCTGATAGTTGTCATTTTGCTTGAATCCTTTCATGAAAAAATAATCTCTAGAAATTTGCGGTTTCATGGAAAATTCACCCCATGTTGTTTTATTTATACACACACACACACACACACACAGAGAGAAAGAGAGAGAGAGAGACTTAAACATTTTTTTTGGTTGCCTCTCTATATAGATTAAATATTCTAGAAGATATGGACAGAGTTAAGTTTCTCAATATTTGTTTTGCCTCAACATATCCAAGGCATACACCAAAATTCAGCCAGGAAGTATGGCAATGATTCTCAAGGGACGTTGGGAGGAGAGGAAATGGAGCTGTCCTTTCTGTTCCTAGTTTGCACACCTGACCCTGCAGTTTAAGAGTCTTGGGTTTCTACTAGTGCTTCCTCCTAACTCAGCCCAATTCAGGTCACAGTCAGTAATCATTTTTGTACTTCTGATATTTTTGAGATGTATAGTTTTTTCCTTCTTTACAAGTGATACAGTTTGGAAAGCATCTCTCTGTCCCTTAAAAATTATTTTTCTTTTCTTTTATCTTCTTGGCAGAAATGAGGCTGTAATTGTCCCACAGTTGAGTAGAGCAGAAATGCAAAAAAGAGAGGGTGCTTGGACTTGCTTCTTAACCTGTGAATAGGAGTTTATTATACCCTATGAACTTTCAAAATCTTACTGGTAAAGAAGACATCCCCAAGCAGGCTACAGATGGAATGTATGGTACAGTTCTACTCATTGGCTTAAATTAAAAAATAGACAGGAAGCTATAAGAATGAGTAGAAACTCTGTACATTAAAATACTTAAAATGATTCCATTTATTTAAAAAGAAAGCTCTAATACATTTAGAACAAGAGCCATCAGAAACGTATACATCATTGCTTAGTCAGGTTGACTAAAAACGCAGAGTTCTTAAAATTTAGATTTTTGCATTTGGTTGGCTTGGGATCAAAATCTTTTCCACTAGGCTTACCAATAAACTTGAGCTTAATAAGCAGTTAAGCTCAGTGTGTGGAGAACTGATTGGAAAAAAGTATTTTCACACCTCCTTCACTAAGCTGCATTCTGATTCCTAATGCTGTATCCTGAGTTCCTCAGTACCGTGAAAGAGGCCTGCAAAGCAAGCAAGTGGATTCTGGTCACGAGAAAGGGGCAGCTTTCATTGGGCATGAAGTGGCTTTAGCGACGTAAGTCAGTTGCTTGTACATACAGTTAAGATAAGCATATCAGCAGGAGTGTGGGTGTACTGATAGTTCACTTGAGGAACAGCATGTGACCAGAGTCAGCTCTTTAGGGCTGCACATCCTGGTGAGGTGTCTTCACTTTCTACAATTGACTATGGTCTGGGCATCCCCTTTTCAAATCCAAATATATCCATTTGTCAGACTGTCTTAGTCAGTTTGGACTGCTGCATCAGGAATACCATAGACTGGACAAACCTTTATTTCTCACAGTTCTGGAGGTTGGCAAGTCCAAGATTAAGGTGCCAGCAGATCTGGTGTCTGATAAGGGTCCTCTTCCTGATTTGCAGTGGTCACCTTCTTGTTATATCCTCACATGGCAGAGAGCAGAGAAGAGATGAACTCCCTCCTGTCTCTTCTTATAAGGGCACTGATCCCATTCATGCGGACTCACCCTCATCATCTAAATCACCACCTCCAAACGTGATCACATGGCAGGTTAGGGTTTCAGCATGCTACCTTTGGGGACACATTCCATCTATAACACAAAGTCATCATAATAACACATTAGTGCCATCATATATGAAATACATCATGTATGAGATCTTGAATACATGGATCCCCCCACCCCCATGACCATTTAGAAATATTTAAAAAGGTCAGTGCTCTCTTAACAATCCAGTACTGCCCGTGTCCTCACAAACAGAAATTGAACATGGGCATTGAAATTGTGTAGTGGTGTCTGTTGCAATGTGTCCATCTAGAAAATAATCTGGAATATCCTTATTTTAAAAAATATCTAGAATATACATACTATATAGATATTTTTTTTTTTTTTAGTATACAGAACTTTTAGCCTTTCAGAGGTTAGGTAGATATTCATTTGAGAAACAATCCATTATTTTGTCTAAATCAGTAGTTTTTAAAATGTGGTACTCCAGGTAGGCAGGAGGCTTTAACTAGAGCATGTATACCTAGATCAAGTTCATACTTCTCAGTCCTCCTGAACTCACACCAGCCTCTTCAGCTTTAGTATTTCTCATACAGAACTTTTAGCCTTTCAGGGGTTAGGTAGATATTCATTTGAGAAACAATCCATTATTTTGTCTAAATCAGTAGTTTTTAAAATGTGGTACTCCAGGTAGGCAGGAGGCTTTAACTAGAGCATGTATACCTAGATCAAGTTCATACTTCTCAGTCCTCCTGAACTCACACCAGCCTCTTCAGCTTTAGTATTTCTCTGTTTCATTCTCTCTCTCATGCATTCTGATAATCATCTATTGCCTTGTGTTATCATTTAGCCACCATATATTTTTTAACCTTGATTTTATACTTTTAGAGAAGACAGTGTTCAATAAATTCTAGTCCAAGTCTTTCCATAGAACACTCTCCTGAGCCCTTGAGAAGAAGCCACTGGATTAGTCTATTTATATATAACAATCTACATGTGAGATGGTTTTATTGTTTATACCTAAAATGAGCTCTGAGAATCATCAAGGGCATTTTTTGTTTGTTTGTAGGGGGAAAAAACTATTTTTGCCAGTTCAAAAAAATAGGTTAAATAACAATTTGCTTCTATTTAGGATAGCTATTACTGAAAGTATACTTATGATGTTTCTTTTTTTAAAAAAAAAACTATACATAATTACAGATGGGATACACACCGCTACATGTGGGCTGCCACTACGGAAACATCAAGATTGTCAATTTCCTGCTCCAGCATTCCGCAAAAGTCGATGCCAAAACAAAGGTAAACACCTTTCCCCTATGCGTCCACCAAAATCGTAGACTTTGTGTCCAAGGAAATAAGAGTCGTTTCTTCCACCTTCCTTCCACAGAATGGGTATACACCTTTACATCAAGCAGCTCAACAGGGACACACCCATATAATCAATGTCTTGCTTCAGAACAATGCCTCCCCCAATGAACTCACTGTGGTAAGAGCAAAGGGGCAGCTAAGGGAAGAAGGAGGAGATGGGCCTGGGCACTGGTGTCTTACATTTTTTGTCGTGCGCCAATGTTGCTTTTTCACTTTCATTAATAGGCATGAACAGAATATTCTATAAAATGAAGGGAAAAAAAAGACAATAACTATATTGTGAGCTATCCAAAGAGAAAGATATGATTAGTGTTTCACACTTAAAAACTGTCCCTCCACCTAGTAGGAAGTGTGTGTGTGTGTGTGGTGTGTGCCCGCGCCTGTGTCTGTATAGAGAAAGAAATAGTGTTTGTTTTCTTGATTACTCAGAACATTAAAAAGCCTCAGATTCTGAGTGCAATAGTCCAGACTCTGCTGTATGAGTAGAAACAGGTTAGGTGGGTTTCGTGCAAGGTATGTCTCTGATGAAACAGCATTTTGTGTGTGACAGTGGGATGGGACAGATGAGACATTCGCCTTAGGTTTTGTATAGGCGAAATGTGTGGAAACATACAGGCCCTGAGATGTGTGGAACGACTTGTTAATTCCTTGTCCACATCTCCCTCCTGCCAGAACGGGAACACGGCCCTCGCCATTGCCCGGCGGCTTGGCTACATCTCAGTGGTCGACACCCTGAAGGTTGTGACTGAGGAGACCATCACCACGACGGTAAGTAGTGGATGCTGGACCTTGCAACCCTGAGAGCCAGGTGCCAGACAGTAGATTTTCCCTGGGCTTTTCAGAGATAAACCTTCTTTCCTCCGTTCATAGACAAAGCCAGGTTTCCAAATGTTGCCATCTCATTGTTGGCAGTCAGCATTGTAAAATTCTAATTTCTGATATTAAGAAAACTTCAAAACACTAAAAATACGCTTTTAAAAGTTGTAATAGTAGCTCTACACTTTTTACTTCCTTGTAAAGCTAAATGTGTTTATTGTTTTGACATTTAAACAGTTTTAATGAAATGAAGGCAGAAATGTTTTAACATCGTTCTTTGGCAGTATTAGAAAATCGAAAGTTCTCAGTTGGTTCTTTAAAATATTTTAACTCACAAATGATAATAGATACATTATTGTCCTTGTAAAAAGAACAATTGTTATAAAAATAAAACATTAGAGATAGGATCGTTTTGATTTTTACTACCACTCTCCTCTTCCATTCACCTACTGGAGTTTTCATAGGAAAAACAATAGCTATTGTATTAAAATTCAAAGTAAATCTTTACCAGGAGGCCTTATTGCGTCAGATACTTTTTTCAAGCTGCAGCCTCTAGGATAAGTCATTTTTTAACCCCATCTGGTACCTTTGAACTGCATCAGGATTGGGTAACTTTGGAATCAAGAGCAGATACTGCACTATATCAGAAGCTTATTTGAGTTTTTCCTGACTGCATAACTCAACACACAGACTTGCGATTGACTCCATACAAGGTAAATTTAGGACCCTGGAACATTTGCAATTATCAGCTCCACTTCCTTTTCTCATCTGCCACCTTCCAATATGAAAGAAGGCATAGTTCGCATCTGCAAAGTGTTTATATATATAGTGCTTCATATAAAAAACAAGTGGAATGGCTCTGTAGCTACCTGTAGGTTGAGTTATTTGGCTATGTATATGCTTTAGAAACTAAATAATAAGCCTGCGGATTACAAGAGAGAAGTTTTGTAACACATAAAAGAGAAAACAGTAACTTTGATGAACTAACACAATAATTATCAGTCAGGGCACATTTCTAACTTCAAGATATTTGTGTAAGAGATAAATTTCCATATACGCTTTCATATACCTCCTGAGTATGTCATTATCTTAAAATCTATTATTAAATTCTCAAGAAAAGAATTCAAACAAATAACATTTATTAATCTTAATTTTATAGACATCCCATTTAGCTCTTCCTAGGGTTGGGAAGGAGAGGGAGGAGGACAAGGTATTAAAAAATGGCCAAGTATGACCATGCTGTAAAAGATTTGAACTCACTACAATAAATCTATAAGACTTCTATTTCAATGTTATAGTGTCTTGAAACTTTTATAATAGTTCAAAATAAAAATCTTATTTGGTTGAATGTAAATGACTTTGTCACCTATTAAGAAAGTTCCAAATGTTTCTTTGATCAAAAAAAAAAAAAGCTTTAGGAGAAAATAAAGTTACCGCTTCAGGAATCTACTGACAGAGAAGGATTTCAAGGCTCAGATGCCTAGTGAAAGGCAGAACATGTCTGGGAGTTGAGCCATTTCACTGTCAGCATCATCAGACAACTTGGTTTCTGCAAGACAGGGAGGACCGGGCTCATGCCAACAGGAGTAGTCCGGTCGGCCTAAGGAAGGAAATGAGGCTTCCACCAAATGAAGTGCTCACATTGGCTGGAAGACTCCATCCAGGCCCCTAAAACTTAGAGCAGCATTGTGGTATTTGAGATTTTATTTCAAGTTGAGACACCACCTTGTCAGCCTTGCTGTAGCAGTTGCATATAATCCAGTTTGCACAAGGGTTGATGCCATTCAGGGCGGAGTCTGTGATCTTAAGCTCACTAAACACAGTGCAGCCTCCACCACAGCTGGCCCTTTGCACAGCTGGTTACGGGGGCCCCATAGTCTCCATAAGCAGACTTAAATGTTTAAAAACACCTTAAACAAAAAAGCATCTTCCTTATGAGTATCATGTATGATGTGGCACTTCTGAGAAAGATGCTTTAGTTAGTGACTTTACAATCATGCAGCATAGAAAACTGAGTAGCTAGAAGCTGATATTCAGGAGATATGAACTAAGCTGTTTAAATTGCATTATGTAAAATACTCAATTCCCTGAGTATCAATGAGCAGAGTACATCTATCACTCACATATGTTTCTAATACCATTGATAAGGGGAATCAGGGTTTCTTGGCAAAGTGGTTGAATCTAGCTAAACCTGGGGTAGGAAATATACGAGATTAGCCTGGAACATCTTGCAGTGCCAAAAATAAGGAAATAGCCTCCCAGGTAAATAAGTAAATAAATAAGCACACGCAAAATAATGGGGATATGTCAAAGGGACACAGGAATCAGTTGTTACCAATGTCCAAAGTTGGAACAATTTGAGCAACAATAAATAAAATAGTATTAGAGTGTAGTGCAAAATATAAAATAAATATTCACGAGGCCGAACTGATAAATCAATGACTTCCCAAGTAGGGAAGAAGAGACAAATTTCTCAGGCAAAAAAATTCCAAGTAATTTATGAAAACACTTCACCCTGAAGGAGGTGGGATATAACTCCCCACTCTTAAGTCTGTGTTGAACATAGTGACTTCCTTCCAAAGAAAACAGTGTGAAAAAGGAGGCGGGGGGGTGAAATAGAATAATTTCACAATGGAGAAACCTGACACTCACTGCCTCAGCCAGGTGACCAAGGTCAGCGTCAGCACTGGTAAGTCATGTTGCTGGTACCCTTGATACAATGTGATGACAACGGCACTTTACCTCTGTGTCTTCCTCTCAAAACCATATATCCCCAGTCTAATGACAAAAACATGAGACAAATCCCAACTGAGGGACATTCTACGAAATATCTAACCAGTTCACCTCAAAACTGTCAAGGTCATTAAAAACCAGGAGAGTCTGAGAAACTCAGCCAAGAGGAG